CTCTCTCTCTCTCTCCACACACACGCCTGATAACCAAGTCAGAAGGCCAAATAACTGGCATCTATAAAATCACTGCTTTTATCCAACTAAATCTTGGGATTCTCCCAAATCAGTTGCACCAATCTGTCCTTGGGGGGCTTTGAGCAAATAAGGGTTAAGTGTTCTCCCCTATCTGAAACCTCACAGTTATTACCTAGGCAGGCTGAGGAGGAGAAGAGACACAGAGAAGTTCAAAAAAATTTCAAGCACTAGCAAACACACAGAAGTATAAGCAGCTGAGAGTTTTATGTACTTCTAATCCCAGCCATGCTTCAAAGTCAACACCACCGCTTCAAAGAGTTGAACTACCACTCTTAACAAATTCTAGATATTTTGCAGCATCAAACCATATACTCACTCACACACAATACACAGATAGATAAATCCTTCTGGCCATTTAACTGCTAATAAACTTATTACAGAAACAAAGATGTGCAAATTTAAAAGATTTTATGTGTCACCTGCCATGAAACAGGAATGTATGTACCAAGATGTGATAAAACTATCCAAAATATGGATATATCCTTAAAAAATTTTTTTAAGAACACATGTTTGTTTCACTCCCACTATCTTAAATTACACTTGCAAACACACATTACAAAGGGGATTCCTGGTATAATAAAACACGTACATTAAATTGCCTTTTTCATGCCTCTTTTCTGAAAATTTAAAAGGCAAACTGACTTAAAAGATATGAGGGGAAGTTAAAGAAAAACATTTATTTACATTGACAGAAAAATAGTTCTTTTAAAAGTTCAAGTTTAAGTTAAAAGTAAAGGACTTTTATAAACATACTCCAGCAAGCAGAGAGAGGAAGGGGACAGCCAGCTGGAACTCTGGAAGGACCTTGCACTGGTTACCCACCTCCACTTTCTCTATAAAGTGATTCAAATGTTGCAAATGATAATTAACACCATAATGTTTTATGGACGGTAATAAAGGCACATGTGGGCCTGACGGACAGACACCCTTAGTCGGATTACATCTGGCCCACCTACTGCCACTTTATCTTCTGGTTGTCAGTAGTTACTCATTTATTTTTAAATGTTCCAATATGATCTTATCTAATTGGCACATATAATTTGATCGCCTTATTTCCGTAACTAAAAGTTGTTGAATGTATCTGCCCAGGTAATAGTTACAGTTATAAGGTGTGTGTGTTCTGGGCCGGAGCTTAACAGTTATGATTCTGGGCTGGAGATGAACAGTTTACGGCCTTTTATTTCAAAAAGAGAAGAAAGGAAGGAAATCCTAAAGAACCTCTGTCTTAGTAAAATATGCACACTGGGCTGCTGGCTGTTCTCTAAGGAACGGCCGTTGGCCATGGGACCAAGTCACTCCCCCCCGATGGCCCACAAGGGGCCTTTCTGGGGCTTTCTAGGCTGTGAATCCAGCTTTTTGCCACAACATCTTGCTATAACAAACTCCACCCATTTTTAAGGAGAAATGGTCTTTATAATGCCTCTAAATTCTAGCCTAAGTATTCCAACAGCAAAGGACACTCTTTCAACACAGGTGTTTGAGCACAGCCGGGGCCCCTGATGTCACAGGAACTGCTACAAAGATCACCTGGAACCGTCCCTGACCC